AGATCAGGTGGATCAGACACAAAGAGGGAGCATTTAGGAGGGTGCCGGCCTCGCACCGTCACACTGATAGCCTTCATCTCACCACAACAGAGGCTCCGTGTCAAAGAACTGATGGTCCCACCTGAGGGGGAATTCCACCTTAAAACAAATTTGGTTTGGGTGGGATAAACGGCCGACACCAAGTCATTGTTGCTGGTAAAGGCCTTAACAGGTTAATTAACCCGGGACTTAGACAAACGGCTACCAGTTATGTTAGCATTCTTTTTTATAAATAGAGAATAACAGACAAAATGTTTTAAAAATATATATCGTTGAAATCCATTCAGGATAAAAACAGGTGTGTGAACGTAAGACACTGACAGTATCTGTGTTACCGTAAAAACCCCTTTTGCGAAGCTTGGAAAAACAATTGCAGCCCTTAGCATGCAGCAGCTAATGCTACTTATGCAACTTATGCTATATGCTAGCTGCAGTGGGCCTGAAGCCCAGGAGCATTCACGTGCCTACAGGACTTTATAGCCTTAGACCTGACGTGGCTAATGTCTACATCCGCTAGCCCAACGCTCCTCCTGGCAATGCTAGCAGCCTTGACATGTACGGTCAGGTAAGAGGAGCTACATGTTGACAGCCACAGGATACTGTTATGATTGTACAAACTGCAAACTTCTCCCTGTTTTCCCTCCACTGCTGATGTAATGACCTGGTTGCAGTTACTGTCACGGTAAATACTCGTCAACAACACGGGCAGATTAGACCCTTTATTGACTCGCTCCTGTTGAGACATTTCCCACTGTCTGAGATATGAAAATCATGGTAAAGAATTGTTCTTGAGGGTGGATTTTAATTAGACCTACACTGATTTTTGACCTGAGGGATGTGAAGTACTCCAAAATAATTACACTGGTATCAAGGAAGTGTTTTATCAACTTTCCTGGATGATACGGTGATTTGGCATAAATTCCTGGGGCTGAAAGTACTTTTTGTTTACCAGGTTTGTGGGAGTAGAAAGGAATTTGTATTAAGTTACCGATGAAACAGTAACAAACATGCAGCTGCGGTGTTGCATTTCTGCTGTTGAATCAGGAGCGCTCTTCAACTGCTGTTACTGTTGACAGTAATTAACATTCTTAGTAAATGCCAACTGATTCACAGCCTGTTACTTGAGGTGATCGTGGTTTAGGTTTGTTGACACAACGTTATTTAAACTCAGGAAAATCAGTTGTTTTTGGTCGCATTAAAAAAACAGGGTTACAGCGTTTGTATCCAGGTAGTCAGCCATGTTTGATGATGTCATACCTGATGTCTCCGTGATGTGCCACATCGGGGGTCACGTACCTTTGAAGCTGAGAGCTTCTTCATGGGACTCCAGGCCTGTGAGTTGACAATCTTTGAATATGAACCAATGATTTTGTCAAACAAATGTGGGCAGCGGTGGCTTGGTGGTTCAGGAAGCAGAGGTTCTGGAAGGTTTCAGGTTCGAGTCCACCAGCTGCAAAGTTACCTCTCAGCATGGCACCGTCCTCACACACTGCTCCCCGGGCGCTTCAGCTGCCCCCTGCTGACTTTGGTGATGACTCACATTTGGTTGTCTCACGATGACAAATAGTTTCCTTAAAAAAGCCCTGAAAAACTCCAGGAGAAAAGAGATTTCCAATATTACCGTACAAGTATCTGCCCCGGCAGATGTCTCTTCTGAGCCACAGCTGATTTTTCATCACAGATGATGGATTTTGTTGAATGTTGAATCCCGTTCCTGTTTTCCCCAAAAAATTTGACAAATATAAAGAAATTCAAAACAGCAATTTTTTTTATCCTTCCTCAACTCTGAGAGAGTTCACTTCCTCTCCGCAGGACACAGAATCCTGGAGCATATTTTAGATGCAGTGACAGACGGCATTAATTGTTAACGATTTCTTAAAGTGGTCCTGAGCCCATGTGGCCGCGTCCATCACTGCAGCCTTACTTGTTCTAATGGAACACCGCCCGAGGGCTGGAATGTCACACACAGTCAGAGAGATTTCTGCTGACTCCACAGATCTTTTCACTACATTTATGAACTGTACATAGTGGCGGACATGAATACAGTAGGAAGTACTTTTAAAGTCTCACTCACAAAGTAACCTGTACGCCACGATCACTGGTACTTTGGACTGGTTATTCATTTATCTCCTACAGCTCAATTCTTTTCAGGTCAAACTACGGCCCGTGGGCCAGATAGGGTTAAAAATATACCAGGAGTCCTGTAGTGGCCACATGGGATCTGACCCATGTTCTTGCTGTAGGGTTAAAACATTAGATACATGTACTGTATGTAATGTATGTCATGCTCGCAGTGGTTTTTAAAGAGTGATGGATGCCTTCCCTCACGCCCCCTGGGGGGGCGCCAGATCATCATCTAAACTGGCTAACTTACATGAGAGGAGAATGAGTCCATTACTGCAGAAAACAGAGGAGGCACCACAGATTATTGAAGGTTACATGGACCAATATACACATATATATATATATATTTATTATTAATACAGTATATTAACATTTGCTAATTGTTGCAGGTGGGGCCCAGTGGA